AGAACTAAATATCTGAAACATTCTGTTTTTAAATTTGTTAGAAAACGTAATAATTATTTTTAAGACTGTTAATTTTCCTCAAAAAAATTCACCCCCAGAAAGTAATAAGATATTTTAATATATAAAAATAACACATACAACGAGTTAAGTACAATGCAAACTATTCGAAAGGTTTCGATAAGATTATGGTCAATGTGTGTGATTTGGTCCAACTTAAAATATAGGATAGTTATATATCATCACGATAAGTTGCCCTTAAGTTTTTTTTATTGAACATTAATTAAGAAAAGGTTTTGAGTTTTACGATTGAAATCTTTGTTTATAAATGGTTGCTATTGGTTACAGCTTAAATATTTAATGCAATAATTATTGATACAAAAGAATTTTTAAATTAAATTCTAAAAGTTTATAGAGTTGGCATTTTTAACGGGCAACAAAATGCACTGAGTCAGCGTCAGCTAGTGTATTATGTAAATATCATTATAATATTATTAAGTAGGTTATGTATTAGATGAAATATGAATAAAGTACCTATATACATTGCGCAATTAATTAATTACAGTGTTAATAATAATTAGTACTAAGTACTACCGATATACCTTAAAAAATATGATAAAAACACAACAAAGATCCTTATCGTTATCAAAATATATTATAATGCTTATTAATATTTAGATGCGTTTTTTTTCAAACAGCCCTAAGTGGAATAACCGTTATACTTACAAATCATAACCATATTTTAATATACAATATTAAACATTTAATACTTAAGTGAGAATACCCAAAATATCCCTTATTCAGTGTAATGTTTCAGATAGGTAGGCATATTATAATAATATTAACTATAACAGTTAAACCTTCCTCGGGGTAACATTATAAGGCTCGTTGCTGTAATAAATGAATATTATATTGTAGCCAATCGACATTATTAGATGTTGTATATATTATAATACAAGTATAATGTAAGTAAAATATGTACAATTTTCATTCCTTATAAAAGGCTTATCCGTTATTACAAACCGAATAGTTTAAACGCACACAATATTGTGAAGTCGATTTTAAAAGTACTTATCTCAATTTCAAACAAGTATTAAAAAGTAAAATCCTTCTCGATCTCGTGAACCAATAGTTTTAAAATACAGTGTGTAAATATTTATTAACGGCTTACAATTAAATATTATACGGAATTGGTTAATATTGAAAAAAAAATTATAAATGTATATTATAACAAACCCGAAACAATGGTAAAGGGCTGAGGTAGACATTAGTTGGAAAAAAAAAGAAAGTCAAACGGGATATAAAAACCTATAAAGAGTTGCCGTGTCGTGCACTTGAAACTGTTCGCTCACCTCCACACAGGTTATAGTGGTGCAGGTGGTTGATGGTATTAGTGTATTACTCGTACATTTGAAAGCAATGATTCAAAAACCAATTCAACTCAATTATTGCGTTGCCTGCATTTGATCAACAATTTTCCACCATAATATTGTAGATAGTATTTTTTTTAAACGCTTAGTGAAAAACAATCGAGAAAAATCGAAAACTTTATTATTATCAAATTACCACGCAGTATCGAATTCCGATCTTAAAAGGTGCTACACGAGACTTTTTGAATGCTCCGTCTGCCCTAAAATACCCAAAATATAATAAAATAAAATGCTTACGTAGAACAAATAACCATTTATTGTCTTGTTAGGAATCTAACGCGATACTACCTACCTATAATAGTCATGAAATAAATTGTCTGCATTTAAATAATTTCTATAACGGTAAATAGCTATAAGCCCCATAGCTTAAATCCAATGGATACCAACATGTTTATAGTGGATGCCAGTTTATGTAGCATTAATAAATAATTTCTTGTATCCAATCCCTGTGGGATGTTTTATGTACACACTAAATTGGTTACAATTAAATTTTCGATAAAATGTCACTCTTGCCAATTTTAATATCGATATTAATAATTTTGTTCAATGTTTATTTATTTATTTATTTATTTTAAATATAAACGGACTTAAGTCCTTAACAATATTTTGTGTGTATACACGGTAATAATAACACAATGATAATAGTAATGACAAATAATAATAGTAATGACAAATAGTAATATAAGCTACATAATACAGTTAAATAAGTTACAAATATATACAAGAGAATGAAAAAGTTAAATAACAACAAAGAAAGATATAAGTCGAGACATGCTAAACAAAATCAAACAAAATCAAAGGTAATGGAATTACCCGCAGCCATGAGGATGTTAGAAGGACAGTTTATCATATAATTTGTTTTATAAGGGACGGGATAGAATAAATCACTGCATCTTGTGTTACGGTGATTTACTTTAAAACGGATGAGGGAAAGGAGCTCATCACAATCGATATTCCCTAAAAGTAAATTGTGTAAAAATTTGGATAGTAATAAAGTGCGTCTAGTTTTAAGTGGAAGGAGATTTATAAATGATAAAACTGAATCATAGGAACCGTGAGGTGGCCTATAAATATTAAATTTGAAGGAGATGAAACGGAGGAAGTTATTTTGAACTGATTCGATCGCATCGATCTGTTTAGAAGTGTTATTAGTCCAAATTAATGGACAATATTCTAGGTTTGAGCGAACAAGGGCACAGAATAAAACTTTTAAAGATAGTGGATCACTGAATGATCCACAAGTTCTTTTGATAAAACCGAGGTTGCGCATTGCCTTATTTTTTATCATTTCAATATGGGCTGAAAAATTTAGTTTAGAGTCGAAAATGACACCTAGGTCTTTAAAGTTTGTTAATAATTCAATATCAGTCCCGGAAATATGATAATTATAATTGATGACATTTGTGCTTAGGCTAAAGCGCATAAATTTGCATTTGTCAATGTTTAATAACAGGCGATTAGTTGAGCACCAGGATTGAATCTTATCAATATCGTTTTGTAAATCATGCGCGTCACCTTGATTATTTATTATTTTTACCAGTTTAAGGTCATCTGCAAAAAGAAAAACACGAGAATTTTTTACGACATCCGGAATGTCGTTAATAAAAATATTAAAAAGTAGAGTAGAGAGGTGATCACCTTGTGGGACCCCGGATGGAACACTAAATTGATCTGATTCAAAGTTCAAATGTTTAACAACGATATTACGGTTTGAGAGAAAAGATTGAAACCATGAAAGCAGAGGGTCAGAGAACCCAAACAGTTTTAATTTCATAAATAATATTTCATGGTTTATGCTATCGAATGCTTTAGACATATCAGTGTAAATGATATCTGTTTGCGAATGGGCTTCGAAAGAGTCAAGAATTATTTGTTTAGTAATAGCTAGATTACAATTAGTTGATCGCTTAGGTCTAAAACCATATTGATGATGGGTGAGAAATGAGGAGCAATAATTATTTATTTTAGTAGAAATTAGTTTTGAAAAAAGTTTAGGGATTACTGATATTTTTGATATTGGCCGATAGTTGGAAACATTTGTGGGGTCACCTTTTTTAAAAACAGGGTAAATAAAAGAGTTTTTCCATATGTCGGGGAATATACCGTTTTGGAGCGATAAATTAAAAATATAGGTTAAAGTTGGTGTTAGTATAAATCTACAGTTGTAGAGGAAAAAGGCTGGAATGTTATCCGGACCGACGTCAAAATTGATAGGGAGAGCGGTAAGTTCGTTTAAAACATCGACCTCCGTAAGTGATATAGACGAAAAGGAAAATGAAGGATTACTACTTAAAGAATTATTAAAACAGGGAACAAAAGTGGTAAGTTTGTCTGGCTGAGGGTAATTTTTAAAGAAATATTTAGCAAATAAGTTAACAATATCATATCCATTATCAGCTGACGTTGTATCGAGCGTAAGGAGATTTGGTATTGAATTAGTATTTCTACGATTATTAATGTATTTCCAGAAAGACTTTGGGTTTAATTTGACAGATAGTTGAACATTATTTATATAGTTTTTAAAATCGTGTTTAGCAGTTCTCTTACAATTAGCTCTCAAACGGGAAAAGTTATTATAATCTGATGGGTCATTAAATTTTTTATACAAAGAATGAGCAATTTTTTTATGTGTTAACAATATTTTTAGCTCGTTAGAGTACCAAGAGGGAAATCTATTTGACGAAACACGCTTTTTTGGTACAAAGGTACTAATTGCTTTGTTTAAACAATTATAGAGGTGGTTAATTAATTCATTAAGGCTAAAGTTAGTAAAAGTATTATAAGATAAATTAACAGCTAAAAATTTAACAATATCAATATAATTACAATGCTTAAAATCATAAAAACAATCTGTTGGCTTTAGTAAATTAAACTGATTATAATCAATAGAAACATTAAGAGCTGGGTGATGCTTATCTAATGGTAATAGTGGGTCAGGATCGTTAGAGACATTAAGGTGAGCGTTTGACAATACTAGATCTAAAGTTACATCATTTTCATTTAGAACATGGTTAAGCTGATTAAAGTTGAAATATGATAACATATTTACAAAATAAGAATCAACTTGAGAAGTGCAATTAATTGGAAGTGATAAAGAAGTCCAGCGAATTGATGGTAAATTAAAATCCCCTAATATTATAAATTTTGCAGATGGATAGGCTAAGTATAGATCATTTAAAGCGGAAAAAACATTTTCATACGTTATAAATGGAGAACAGGGAGGTATATAAATGCAGCCAGTAATATAAGTTGTGTCATCTATCTGTAAATGCACAAAAACAGCTTCAATATTATCGATAGAAGTATTTAACTTTTTACACTTAATTGAATTTTTTACCGCAATTAAAACGCCCCCGCCATGAGAGCGGTTACTGTTTAGCGGCGACCTATCACAACGAAAAATTATAAAATTAACAAAGTGCAATTCAGAGTTACATATAGCAGGTGAAAGCCATGTTTCAGTAAATGCAATTAAATCAAAAAGAGAAGTATTAAGTGAGGGAATTAAAGTGCTAATTTTGGAGACCATGCTCCTAACATTTTGATAGTAGAGTAGCAGGGTTGAATTGGTGACTAGTTTTTTTGAACCGCAGTGGAGACGATAGTTGGTTGACCCTTATAGTATTTTATTGTCAGATTTGGCTCACCTTTTGATATTCGAGCACTTAACTGGTTGCGTAGATCACGAAGAAATTCACGCTGATAGGGTGACTTATCACTCGTGAGTCTAATATCTTTAAAATTTTGATCAGATTTCAGGTTACGTGATAACCCGAGAATTTTGAATACTTCTGAGGCCGCTTGCAGTTCAATTTTCAGTGGACGAGACTTGTTATTAGGTTTGCCTAAACGACTAATTTTTATTGGTTTAATGTCCGTACCGAGTTTATTGAAAATGCGTGTTATTGAATCAGTATCAGTGATATTATCGTGGCTAGATTGTTCATGCACATTAAAAATGATAATATTTTTAGAACGATTTTGACGGTCGATAAATTCAGCAAACATGTCATGATTATCGTTGGACTTTGGAGCAGCTGATTCCAACAGGTCAACACGGTTTTTGATATCAGTCAAATCATTACGAAGCACACTATTTTCAATTTTGATACTTGATAATTGAGAGAAGATTTCGTGGAATTTATTGTCGAAAGAATTAAGTTTTTCATTTTGCGCATTGACCAAATCAATAAGTTTAGCTTGCTCAGCGCGTAAGTTATCGAGATGGCTGATGATTAATTTCAAGTCGGGTTCAGTAGTAGAGAGCGAAGTAAGAGGTTGAATAGAGTTACCAGTGACAGAAATAATATTTTTAGATTTTTTAGTACAAGTAACACAAGACCATGATTTATTCAAACTATTTAAATAGTCAATATCATCTTGTTTCAACGAAGCACAAGTAAGGTGGTATAATTTAGAGCAGGAAGAACACGTAATCGAGTCGTTTTGACCGCGTTTAATACTCACGGCACAAGTGACACATAAACCCATATTATATGATTGATATAGCGATAAGAGGTAGATACTGGTAAATACTTATAGAAACGCGGAGCACAAACGGAGATAACACACGTGCGTACGCTGTGGCGGTTGACGACGAACTAACGTAGTTAGTAATAGCAGAAAATAAAAATGTAATATATTTATGCGTATGTATTCTCGATGAGAATAAAATTAAGTTTTTATTTGCGTGGATCAATAAACGTCTCTATGGAATTAATATGCAAATTATTATTCAGTTATTAGCAATATAGCAAGTAGGTACCTATAATAGGGATCTGACTGTGTGTCTAGACTCAATATTGTTCTGAAATTTAAATTATTATAATTATTTATATACAGGATGATTCACCAAGCATGCTCATCCCCATTTTTCTTTTAATAATGAAATTATTCAAGTTCTGATTTTTGGAATTTTTAAATATACTCAAAGATCTTTTTTTCAAATTCTTGAATTTTTTTGTACTAATTAAGGATAGTACCCTGTGTCGATATAAACTTCGTTTTTAAAATTAAAACCTGTATTTTTACTCTAAATTAATTATATTGGATATATTTTTTTAATTTAATGAAATGGTCAGTGAGTATACCTAATTAAAAATTTCAAAAATCAGAATTTGAAAAATTTCATTATTAAAAGAAAAAATGACCATGCTTGGTAAATTACCATATATAGCATATAGGTATGTATAAAATATATACCTACAATATAAGGTGGTACAAAGAATATTAGGCCGAGTACCTACGAATAAATATTTTTTCATCATCCTTCGTTTTTGCTTAATATAAGAATTAAAAATAATAAAATAACTGAACATAAATAGAGGTAATATATTATATTATAAAGACTGACAAAACAAGTTTTTAAAAACTCCTTTCATCATTACTATTTTATTATTAAGTGCTTAGAGTAAATTAGGTAACTTAAGTACATTAACCAGAAAATGGTTAAAGCTTTTAATGAAGGCTTTAATTATAATTATATAATAAGAAATATCCCGGTAATATATTTTATTATGAAAAAAAAATCAACAAACTGAAAAATATGTATATTAATATATTATGTGTTTAAATATGTAAATTTAAGAAAAGTCGGATATAAGAAACATAGTATGGAAACTGGTCCTGCTTCGGTCATCTTAAACAAGGGTAGTACAAATGATATTATATTTCTAAGAAACTATAAATTATGTCAAGTTCAAAAAACTCTTTTCAGTAGAGGATTGTTTAAACTGTGCTTGTTTAATTTGTTTAAACATCATGATTTCTTCTAAACTTTTTTGTAGTTTAGCATTATGCTTACTATGGAATATATTTTTTTTTGTTTTGATTGAATCCGAAATTAAAACTATCTATAAACGCGTGCTATAAGTATTTAACGAACAATATTATTATTTAGTTGAACATGTATAATTATAATATAATATTAATAAACCAGTTTAAACGAAAAATCTAAATACAATGATATTATATTGTTGACATTTCTACCATAAAGCTGTGAATCGGTGCGACAAGTACGGCTGAATACTATAATTTTTGTAGATAGTGTGAGTTGCAAGTGTTATGTCAAGTATGCAGTAACTATTAAGAGGCAATGAAAATAAAATATGTTGCGGATGTTACGGTACCTATACTTACTTTGGAAACCTAACACGTTTTAAAAACAATTTATAAGTAATGACTGAAAGTCCTTATCAAAAACTTTAGTCTTTATCGCATATAATAATATATATGTGAGTCTGAAATTATTTATGTCATCCGTTTTAAGAGTTATGTTACTGTTGCTATTAATATTATTATGTTTCTAGTACCAAAACCACATTTGATGAATTACTGTAAGTACTCAAAACTTTTGATCCAAACTTCGTAACTATAAAATTAAATGGAAACACTTGTCTTTTCTATGAAGGTTATTGTAAATTACTCAACAATTGTCCATATGTGTTATTCAATTAGTTTAATGAATATTACAATAACATAATATTTATTACATACAAATTATTGTTTTTTTTTGTACACGTGAAGTATCTGAGTACCTAGTAACTTTATACTACCTAGTACAAAACTATTTTCTCAAATTATTATATTTGTAATTTAATAATTGAATAGTATAAGAAATACAACAACAAAATAAAATAATGTACTTTTTGAAGTCATTCAGATGTCAATATTTAATTTATAGAAAATATGTTTGAAATGTAATGTACCTATTATATAATTACATTTTTTTTTTTTTGGTAAGAATTTGTTTGAGTATCTATACTTGTACTTTTTGTATTGCATCCATATGATACGGAAATTTGGTGTCATTTACTCATTTTGTCAAACAATGATAACTATTAAATTTTGTATTTTTTTTTATATAGAAATTGTATGTTCCTATACATTTTGACAATAATTAAAATAATGTATCATCCTGATCTGTTTTTAACAACATTTTCATAAATAAAGAACTACAACTAAACAATTCAAAAACGGATTAATTTTTTTTTTTTTGGCTGATGGGGCGGACAAATATTGTTAACCCAGGGCGCAAAAAGTGTTAATACGGCCCTGCTAATATTCCATGTTTAGGTACTGGATTATTACATTTTATTTATAATTTTATCAAGAAAAAAATGTTTTTCCAAACTAACAAATCTATAGAAAATTTGTAGGCAAATTTGTTTCCCTTTGTTGTAAGTGAAGTTCTTGTGTCTACAAATACGCTGTTGTGTAACACTTTATGTCTTATATGAGGTAGGTAGTACAAAAGCTCAAGAAACATGGAGCAGTGTATAGATTGTAAATTGAACACAGATGGTACTTAGGAATAGTCTTTGATAAGAATACTCAAACCGGTGAAAAATATGATCAACCATCTGTTTTTAACAAAGCCATTATTAAATTTGCTTAAACTAAAATTGGATCAGTATCGTTTTTCGAAAACAATTTATACAGACACCAACCCTATATCGATCCCTTACCCCGTACAATGGCTTAGCCAATTTATAACACGTTTTTGTTAAGAATTTATTTATTTTTTTTTTTTGTTGATACATCTGGATATGTTCAATCATAATTTCCTATGACTGAACACAATATGTCTGTATTATCAGATCAATACTCTGCAGCCCTTGAGTTTTGTTAATAATTGTAATTTACTGCGCTCGATATTCATCAGGGATTCTCCGATTAGTCAGCTCAATCACATATTTTCAATCGTTCTTAATTGTTTCCTTTTCAAAACGATGGTAACGTATTATGATGATTAATAAATTATTGTATTTATATTTGTTACGAATGAGAGGCTTAAAAACTATACTGTCATTTTCGAATATTTCAAGTCATTTTAAGAAGTATACGAACCCTTGTAAATTATAGTTGAGATTATTTGGATAGGTACGTAATGTAAACTTTATCATAAAACTATTACTTTTTTTCTTTTGGATCAAAATGTTTTCTCCCTCTCCGGGGTAGTGGACTTAGGATATTTAGAATTACCTTGATACTAATTTGGATAGTTTAAAAATCACTACTTTTTTATAAACCCGCATCTATGTTTAAAACCCCACTTTTTCATATTCAATGATGCACGTCGATCTTTAAACATTTGTTTAGAGTTCTTTGTTTTTCCTACACGAAATCTCATCTTCGTTCTTAATTTATTTACTAACAACAGAACCAGGCGGGGACACAACTGAACTGTTGATTACACATCTCTCATGATTTATTCAACATAAATCAGAAAACAACATGACATAATATATGCTTCTATTACAAAACCATAGAAACCAGAACGTTAAGACTAAAGTGTTAACACAATGTATGATTTCAGTATGTGTATGGTTGGTGTTTGAGCTGGTTTAAATAATTAATTACATTTTCCACTCTATAACCAACCCAAATTAACCGACATTAATTGATTATTACCGAAGTGACCTGACAATAGTACCAGAGGGTTCTTATTTTCTAATTGTCGCTTAGAAATACAAATTTCATCGAAATTTGAAATAGTTGTCTGATATTATATTTACGTTGAGTATGTTAAGTGTGTATCATAAACTCGTATTAACATTTAAAACAATAATAATATAAAAGCTACCAAAGTATAAATACGAATAGGTAAATTAAAATAAATACCTATTCATAATCATAGAAAACACTTTACAAAAAACAAGGACGTGGTATTTAAATATCATATTTTATTAAACGTTGTAAAACATTTTTTAACTTTGTTCAAAAAAAAAAAAATTAGATAATCCCTGTAAGAATAATTGAAACACGGTATTATGTTCAGAGCAGTATCTAGCTCATCGAATGGTGGTGGAGGTTTAACTTGGACGGAAAAGATTTTACACACAATGCGTGTGCAAAAGTGACACATGCACGTAGGTGTATACATTTTCTGCACGCTCCGAAGAGTAAAGAGGAATATGATAAATAAACATGGAGAATTGAGTATAGCTGATATGAAAATAATTTTCGTTTATGAGGAAACAAATAACAGTAATACTTCCGTGTACGGTGTACCTATCCACATTTATGTATGCATTGAAATAGAAATAAAAATGAGATATAATATAATAACGAATTTGGCGAACAGCGCAGTGTACGTAATATTATACGTTTTGGTATTTGGTGTAGGTACACTCGCGGGTGATGTAATCTTTCGTTCGGTTTGTTAGAGGTTAGCTCTAGTCCGTCAGATCCATTGGGAATGCGCCGTTGAGATAAACAGCGCGCCCGTCGAGATTTAACCCTACTCCCCGCGTTATTGGATTTCGGTGCAAATAAAATAAAAATGAAATAAATCCGCATTGGAGAAAATAATAATAATAATAATAAAAAATAAAGAATCTAAAAAAGTGAGACTGGCAGGAGAGAAAACTTGACTAGTTTATGTTTCACACATAATACAAGCACGCACACACACACACACTCACATACACGCACTCACGCACACGTTACACACGATGTAATGTATACCGTCGACACGCAACCCACCTGCA